CACAGAATGCCATTTTTAGGTTTTTATATTTTCAGCTAACATCACAGAATGCCATTTTTAGGTTTTTATATTTTCAGCTAACATCGCAGAATGCCATTTTTAGGGTTTTATATTTTCAGCTAACATCACAGAATGCCATTTTTAGGTTTTTATATTTTCAGCTAACATCGCAGAATGCCATTTTTAGGTTTTTAGGTTTTCAGCTAACATCACAGAATGCCATTTTTAGGTTTTTATATTTTCAGCTAACATCACAGAATGCCACTATCCACGTGACTGATCATTCTCATTTAAAAATCGGGTAGGTTGTAACCTCGAGATATCTTCTGACCTACCGAGGAGGAAAGTTTTTGTCTACATTCATGTACAAGATGCAGCTTAACAGCCATACACACACAGACAAATCTGGTGTTTTCTCAAGGGAATGAGATACAACAAAGGTAGCAAAAGGAAAACAACTTAGCAACTTCCTTCCCCACATATTTTGTGAAAACATACCTAGAACAACTGACAGATTTCGTAAAAAATCTAGCATTAAACAAAAAGATGTATGGTGTACCTACATACCAAATTAAGGTAATACATAACATAATTTTATCTTTGGCTGTAAATATATTACAGAAGGCAAAAAAATACTCAATCAGTCAAAAACCATATAAAAATTCTGTGATGTTAGCTGAAAATCTAAAAACCTTAAAACAAACCGTCTTGGTTGAGATCCTTTTTCCAGACTGACCAAACCCGTGTTACCTAGTTAAACAGTAATAGCAGACTTACCCAGAGCGTCTAGCGTAAGGAGAGTAGTTTAGATCCAGTAAAAGCGAACGTCCATCGTCAAAAAAGCAAGTACCCATAGCTGAAAATACCACATTAAAGTTCAATTAAATATTTTAGAGGAAACCAATTCAATAATCCAAACTGTTGCTTATCAAGACTGGAGCTTCTTAACTCGACACAAGGCGACTATGCAGATGACAAAGAGAGTATTGCAACCACTCATTGATTAATTAGGATCCGTTTGTAACTTCCTGATTTTCCAACTGAGTGGAAACTTGTTTTTCTATCTACTGCCATTCTGATCTTAGATAATAAGAATACTGTCTTTTTCACAATGTTGTGGGATTTTAATTTATAACAGTCTAAAAAAAACGAACCTGAGAATTTCTTTGTATCATCCCTTGGTTGTAAGTTTCTAGCTTTGAGTATTGCTACAGTCAGACGTTCAGCACTCGGTAGATAACCCAGTGACAACATAAGATCACCAAGATCAGGCTAAATTGGTTAAAAAATATATACACAATCAGTCAAACATAGTCGTGCATACAATTTACGATACCTTTTATATGGAAAATAATTTTCTCAGTTTCAGTAGAATTGAACACAAGGTAATGTATAGGATAGGCATTTAAAAACATGGCAATAACTTGAATCTATTCACACACTAAATGTATTTACTGCCAAACGAGTTCAGGTATATCCACCAAAGAAACTGGTTTATTTTACAGCTTATATTAATGCTTCTTTCGTTCAATTTAAAATGTAAATACATTAAGACATCATAAATAAAAACTTTAAACCAAACCTAATACGAACATTCCGCATCTAAATTAAACAATAATTTGATTACCTTTCCATGCACACTCTACTCTCAAACAACCTACTGCCAGTTTTAAGAATCCTATTACAGCCTAACATCGAACTATTCTAATGTAAGTCTAAAAGAAAAATGCATTTTTGCCCAGGACAATGTACTGTTTCATGATTACTTACGTCATGATAAAAAACATAAACCTGAATATACAACGTTGAAGTTTTTTTCTGTAGGTCACATTTACTAGTAGTGGGCATATCGATACGCATATTTATCGATATATTTCCAAATATCGCTAAAATATCGATTTGTTCTTAAACCTGAAAAAAGTTCTTACTGAGAAAATTAAATAAAAATTAACGAAATATATTTTTCACACATTTCAATCGTTTCGTATCTGTTTTTTATGTGTAATTGTTTGTAAGGGATGAATAAAAAAAGTTTTTCATTCAGTCACAACTTTCCTTAACGTTTGCAATAGAACAATTTTTCCCCTGCTTTTGTCATTTTTGATTGAATAGCGGAAAGTAAAAAAAAGAGAGAGAGAGATTATCTCGCAGTGCTGCATGGAAGTCCTTTGAAAAGATGAAGAAAAAACCCTCTATGCTAAATGCACATTATGCAGCTCGAAGCTTAAGCATGCCAACAACACTACAAACTTGTTTACATGCTTAAAAACAAGCATCCGACGAGGAGTGGAGAGCTCGAAAGGTAGAAGAGTGAAAAAAAACTAGAGAAAAACAAAAAGAGTCTCTTCACTAACTGACGTTATTGGTTGCCATCGAGAAGACACAGCCTTACAGAGCAAGTGGAAGTCGGCAAAAAAAAAACGATTATGCATTACTAAGGATGGTCGTTACAGACTTGTAACCCCCTTTAATCGTCGAAGACCGATATTTTTTCTGTATAACTGGCTCCAGAAGATTAGCACCGAGCAGTAAGCCAGTTATCAAGCATGACTGAGGGCGAAATGGGCCAAGGATAACTCCAACCCATCTGCTGAGAGCCAGTTATCGCGCATAACTGAGGACAGGTTAGAACGGGTCAGCACAACAGTATCAGTGCTTATACTCTTCAAAAAGGTGGCACGTGACCTGTGTTCCCGTGAGTTTTTGGCTTTTTCTAAGTTTGCAGTTCATCAGGCAAACACTCATAACTCAGTGGCATAAGCCCGTTGTTCATATTGTGATAAGTGTGATAGTAATCACCATGCAATGCCCTCTGCAGCAAACTGTTACGTTTGCTGCAGGTCTAAGCAAATTCACTTGTGATATTTGCAAGGATAGATTTAAGAACAAAGCTGGGCTTTCACAGCACAAGCACAGTCATCAGCATCCTAACATCAGGAATGCTGAGCAAATCAAATCTCTGGGGGCCAGGACTCCGTTGGTGCGCCAATGCCAGGTAGTTTGGTCCGAGGAATAAACACGAACCCTCCTAGGAGTGGAAGTATAGTACTCGGGCAAAAAGAACATCAATGTCCTCTGTGCGGGACATCTACTAGGCAAGACTTCCATACAGGTCTCGGACAAGCGCCGTGACATGCACAAGATACAGTCTTCTAACACAAATGGTTCACTCACCATCCCGAGTCATAGAGATCCTGTTGAGCAGGTCATGCAATATAAGGAGTTGGACTGGGAGGGAATTCTTTCTCTTCCAGACCCTGACTCTAAATTCTGTTCGTACCTTGACCAGCTGAGTGATCAGAAGGGACTCACCAAACCAGTATGGCAGGAGATCGAAATAGTGACTAAACAATGGGTAGACAACCTGGCCCGTACACAAGTGTCTTGAAATCATGAGAGAACAACCAAGCAGGTGACAGGAAACAATACACCTGCACAAAAACCATACAAAAGATGTCTCCAGTGATTGGAGAATTATAAGTGGTTTCAGGGGATGTATGACCTCCAGGGAAAGCACCTGGCTGAGGAAATACTAGACAGTCAGAATGCTGTCAGGTCTAACCTCAAAAACGAGGAGGTCACAGGCCACTATGATCAGGTCTACAGTGTTTCAAATGATAGTTTGTCTTGATGATTGCCCCAGACCACCAGTGGCTAACACCAACCTCCTGAAACCATTTACTCCCGAGGAAGTGAAGCTCTCACCTCAGGGCATGAAGAACGGGGCAGCTGGACATGATAACATAACTCTTCCATTCCTACAAAACGTCTGAAATGCAGTCTCGATGTTTCCTTGACAAATGTGTTTAACCTCTGGCAATTCTCACGTTGCATCCTTGAGTACATGAAATCTAATAGGTCAGTGCTTATCCCGAAAAGGAAGAGTGATCTGCGAGAGGTCAAAAACTGGCGGCCAATTACAATCTCATTAGTTGTGCTGGGGCTATACTCCAGGATTTTGGCACACCATCTCGAACAGGCGGTGCAGATCAATCCCCGACTGTACAGCTTCATCCCTCAGGCTGGATGTAGAGATAATTTATTTCTACTACAGTCTGGTATGAGGAGGGCTAAACGAAGGTGAACACTGGCTCTGGGGTTTCTTGACTTGTCAAAGGCATTTGACACAGTTGGTCACAAACATCTTCTGGCCAGCCTGGAAAAATTTGCTATCCACCCACAGTTCATCCGAATTGTAGAGTAGGCTCCCAGTCTACTCACCTCATCATTCTGATGAGAGGCATCAAGCAAGGTGATCCTATGTCTCCTATACTTTTCAACATCACTCTGGACCCTCTTCTACGTCATCTGGAAGAACAGGGATGAGGCTTTATGCTAGGGGAAGGGCAGGTTCCTGTCTCAACCCTAGCATATGCTGATGATATCGCATTACTGGCTAAAGATCATGCCAGCTTCCAGTCGAGCCTGTCAAACCCACTGTGGAGAGATGGCTCGACCTAATTACAGACACCCCTCAAGCCACATCAGAGGGTCGAAATACTCTGTAAATACGCTGTGCCCAGGCTGTTTTACCAACTTGAGCTAGGCAAACTGAACCTGGGTGAACTCAGGGAACTAGATAACTTTGTCAAAAAGGCCATCAAGCATTGGTGTCACCTGCCTTCCTGTAATGCCGATGGTCTGCTATACTCCCGTGTTTGCGATGGGGGTTTAGCTATCATAAAATTAGAGTCTCTTGTTCCTTCGTGAAAGATCAAAACGTATTTTAGGCTTGTGCACTCTACCGACCCTGTAACATCATATTTGGCGGAAGAAGATGGTTTGTTGGGAGCCATCGATGGTATTGCTCCAAAGGCTGAACTTCTGATCCCTACACCTGCAAGGGCAAGGTGTGGAACTCTTAAAGAGCTCAAGATCTGCCAACCACTGGTTTCCCAAGCCATGGGTATAAAGGCCCACCACTGGGTGAAGTGTCTAGCTTTGCAAACAAATGTATACCCTACCAGGGAGGCCCTCAGCAGAGGAAACCTCTCAAACACCGAGGACTCTGCCAAATGTTGGGGATGCACAGGAATGAGGGAGACCCTATGTCATCTAACTGGTCAATGCGCGAAATTGAAGCCTATGAGAATATGGCATCACAACAAGATTTGTGACCACTTGATCATTGAGGCGAGTCACAAAGGATGGAAGTTGTCCAAGAACCAACCATCGTGACTAACACTGGTAAGCGTTGGTGGCTGGATCTGATCTTTCATTGTGATGATAAAGCAGTGGCGTTGACGTGACGGTTGTTACGAACTCATGAGTGAATCACTGAAAGAAGCTTATGCTTTCAAACTGACTCGATACGAAAATTTGGTTCCACAAATAAAAGGCCTTACAGGGGATACCTCCATTGTTTTTCATGGTCTCCCTATAGGTGCCCATGGCGCCTACCTGCCTGAAAAGACGGACGTGCTGGCCGACCTGGATATCAGGTCCAAGTACTTTGAAGAGTTCTTGTGTAGGCACACCATCCTCTACACACTGGACCTGTTGTGGAAGTCAAATAATGAAAATTTTCTAACTATTCAGTAAGTTATCAGTGATTTCTCCACAGCCTCTTACTGGGGCTAGCTGGAATGGTATACAACATCTCGCCATTTCAGGTAGAAAACATCCGTCATCTACCGGTAGCATCGACCCTGACATAAAATTGGGTAATTGAAAATATCGATAGCCAAATGCCTCGTCATCTAATTAGTGACGTGCATAAATGGATTAACGAGATTCCCACTGTCCCTATCTACTATCTAGCGAAACCACAGCCATGGGAAAGGGCATGGAGAAATCAGTGGGGAAGGGTCCAAGCAGTGAGAGGGCCTTACTGACGATCCGGACTCTTTTTTCGCTAAATCTTCATACTTTATCTGTTATTTGTTCTATTCTTACTAAATACAGACTAGATCAATTTGACTGACCTCGTAACCACCTTAAAAAATACAAAATAAATTAAAATTACCATTTTTTCTTTCTAGAATTACTTCAAATTGTAGCAAGAAAAAACATTTCTTTACACTAAATAGTTTAAAACTTCTTAACCTTATACACCTGTTTATAATTAAATTTTATTGCCTTTTGGACCGTGCTTTTTAAACTTCCCACCATAAGAAATGTCAAAATATGTGGTAACATAAAGCAAATGTTACACAAACCAAGTTACATATAGCTGGTGCTACTCATGAGCTGTTAGTCCTAGCGAGTGTACCTCGTAGAAATATTTTATTATTATCATCATTATATTTATTTATAATACCTAATTTAACCTT